AATTCGAATATTCGAAATTTCTGATTTTCGAATAATTCGATAATTCGAATATTCGAAAACTTTGTTTTTTTGAATTATTCGAAAATTCGAATACTCGAGAAGATGTTATTTTCGAATTATTCGATAATTCGAATATTCGAAAAATATTAGTTTCGAATTATTCGATTATTCGAATATTCGAAATTTTTCCTCAAATCCCCAATGTATATGGTGCAGTGATTAGTGTAACAAATTCTAAAGGAAGTTAGCTCATATTTTAGGGATTAGAAAGGCTATCGCAGTAGACTTCAGATCTATCGTTTTGATTACAGCACCATTTAGGCGCTTTGACCGCAGAAAGATCTTCCAAGCATTCTCGTGTTCGCAAAGCAATCAATTGATAATTTTTGTTTAACTCGTCTCAGAAAAAGCTCTCATAAGTCACTGTCTTCACTTTACTTAGAATTCTTTTCCATTCTTCTATATGTCTTCCAGCGCCTTTCTAACGCATCAGACTTGGTATGATTATGATTCCCTCAGTAATTGCTTTCCACATATGAAACGTTTGGAAAATTCCAGTAGCCGCAGCTATCAAAATGGCCATTCGGGATCCACGGTCTGATCAAAAAAGAGGAGAAGCGAGAGTTTGTAGAAACAACAGCGGTGAATTTTTGAAGTGCGCTGATTCATAGTCTAGAGTGTGGAATCCGTACATTTTGAAAGATCCTCATAATTTGAAGACTAATTGTTGCTACAGTTGTGATCTTGTTGTGACCGACTACCTCTATTCCGTTTAAAATACAAATAACCATGAGTTTCATTCGTCACAATTATGAGATCTTTCGATAGGGGAGTTTCCAAAAGTACAATATTTTCAGCGTTTTGGAGAAATGGAAAGCTGCTGCATACGGCAAATAAACACTTCTTCATGAATCCTGCTCTCAATGTAGCCAATATTCGCTCAAAATTAGATGAAAAAAATTAGCATACTCTATTTCTTTTGATGTTTCTCAGGCATGTGTATTGTAATAAAATCATTGTTAAAATTTATTAAACCCGGTTTTGTTTTACAGCAGAGAAACACGTATGAGTAGAGCTCAGTTAAAAATTTAAATACGTCGCGCCCGGAGCCGCACTTCATTGCTATAGACGAGTCCATCACCGCCACCAGCGCTAACAGGTGGCGATGGCGCTGGTTGATTTTCTTCACCTTGTTGGTAGTTTGAATTGGATGGATATTGCTGTAACGGTATTTATAGATTGCATGAGTAGAGAGAAACTAACATGAAGTAAAGCTTACCGCCTCGATAACTGGTCCAGGCCCAGGCACAGACTTGGGACCACCAATAGGGTTCAATCCAGAACCGCTACCGTCGGACGGTGAATCGTAACTGCCGCCTGAAGGAGTGGGTTTAGAACCCCCGCCAGAAGTACCAGATCCAGAGTCTCCTCCGGAAGAACCAGATGATGATCCATAACCACCGTCAGAAGGAGCAGGTTTAGAACTTCCTCCGCCAGAAGTACCAGATCCAGAGTCTCCTCCAGATGAGGAACCATAAGCGCCATCGGAAGGAGAAGGTTTAGGAGATCCACCTCCACTGGAAGAATCAGATCCGGAATTTCCTCCAGAAGATGAACCGCCACTATAATTTCCGCCAGAAGGAGGAGGGACAGAGTCTCCGCCAGATGATGAGTAACTGCCATCGGAAGGAGCAGGTTTTGAAGCTCCACCGCCTCCTGAAGGACCGCTGGAGTCTCCTCCAGAAGAAGAACCATAAGTGCCGTCGGAAGGAGATGGTCTAGAGCTTCCACCTGAGCTATAATTGTCTCCTGAAGGGGCAGGTGCGGTGTCCCCACCGGAAGAGGAAGCGTAATTGCCGCCTGTTGGTGCACCTCCATCAGCGCCACCCCTACCTGGACCACTAGGACCATAATTATCTTCAGATGGTGGAGTCTCAACAGGAGGTGGAGGTGTACGAATAGGTCCTCCAGGATTTGTTCCTGTTGCATAACTGCCTTTACCGCTTG